AATATATTTATGTTTGTGGTTGTAATGTGACAAAATATGGAAAAGTTCAAGGGGTATGAATACTTTTGCAAACCACTGTAAATAAAGAATTCATACCCAAAATTTGCAGTTATTCAAACAGCAGCTTATATGAATGCTTATATGTTTTCATATTTTGTCAACAAGTCAGATTTTACCAAATCTTACAAATAACTTAATAGAACCAGCATTTTTAGAATCGCTAGCCCAGTTGTTCCACAACTTTATTCTTTGAACTGAAGTACATCTCTCTCTCAAATTAATTCAAATTTTAGGTTTAACAAACATTTCAAATCCTTTAAGATTAAAAGTACTTTTCCTCTTGATGACATTAGACTGAATATTCAAAGGTAATGTGTTTTTATGAGCCCTATACATAAACAGCAAAATCCTATTATCAACCAACTCATAAAGTTTTAATAACTTCAATTGATGAAACAATATATTTGATGGGTTATTATAACATTTTCCGGCCATAATTCTTATGGCTCTATTTTTTGGCAAAATAAAAATAGAATTTATATATATGTTTTATATGCCTTCCCGCAGACGTCAACACAAAAATGTGGAACAATTATTGCATTATATAGTGCAAACAGTGCTTTTATCATTAAATGAATCCTTGACCTTATATAGGACCATTTTAGTTCTTAAATAATATATATGAGACCTACAAGTCAAGTTTTTTATTGAGTTTGGTAAAAAGTTTTTGTTTGTAAGTTTTTTGGGGTCTTTATCTTTTCAGATCACACTAGATGTGCTGGCTGACATGGGCCACGAGGAGCTGAAGGAGATTGGGATTAATGCATACGGCCACCGACACAAGCTTATCAAAGGTGTTGAACGGTTGCTGGGGGGCCAACCAGGTAAATATCGTCATTATTTTTAACAATAAGTCAGATGTTTACCATATTTTAACTTCATCTTTCTCCCCCCACCTCACAGGTGCCAACCCTTATCTGACATTCCACTGTGCCAACCAGGGCACCGTCCTGATCGACCTCGCCCCTGATGACAAAGAGTACCAATCTGTAGAGGAGGAGGTACTGAATGCCTCCTCACCTGTAAACACGTGACTCAGCAGGTTCTGAATAGACGTTTGCATAAACCCCATACTGTTTGTGATGATTCTCAGATGCAGAGCACAATCAGGGAACACAGAGATGGGGGCAACGCTGGTGGGGTTTTCAGCAGATACAACATCATCAAGGTACTTTTTTCTTTCTCCTTCGTAGGTCTGTAAACTTTGACACACCATACCTGACTAAAATATTACGTTGTCCTCAACAGATCCAGAAAGTGGTAAATAAGAAGCTGAGAGAGCGTTACACCCACAGGCAGAAGGAGATTGCAGACGAGAACCACAACCATCACAATGAGCGCATGCTGTTTCACGGTAACCAGTTATTTTTGTGTCACCTCTCAGCTTGTTGTAATACATTGTTGCTCCTCTAACGTCATGTTTTTTCCCAGGGTCTCCGTTCATCAACGCCATCATTCACAAAGGCTTTGATGAGCGCCATGCTTACATAGGAGGGATGTTTGGAGCCGGGATCTATTTTGCTGAGAACTCCTCAAAGAGCAATCAATATGTCTACGGCATCGGCGGAGGCACGGGTTGCCCGACGCACAAAGACCGATCCTGCTACCTGTGCCACAGGTATTTATTGATAAAATGAGCCTTAACTGAAACTACATACGGCTTTGGTTCCTATATCTTTCTCTTCTTTTCTTCCCCCCACACAGACAAATGCTGTTCTGCCGAGTGACTCTGGGGAAGTCCTTCCTACAGTTCAGTGCCATGAAGATGGCTCACGCTCCACCAGGACATCATTCAGTAATCGGGCGGCCGAGCGTTAACGGTTTAGCTTACGCCGAGTACGTCATCTACAGAGGAGAGCAGGTAAACTGAAGCATCAAGTTAAACTGTTTATCTAAATCTTGTCTAAGCCAAAGCTTTAGCAGAAAATACATTCATACTGCTCTCGTCTAACAGGCCTACCCGGAGTACCTCATCACCTACCAGATCCTTAAACCGGAGAGCACGGCACAGTCTGCAGCAGGAGCTGAGCAGAAGTCATAGTTTTGGTGCTGCACGGCCTCACATAGACTTGATGCTGTATATTTTATCCTTTGTATTTGCCTGAACAGAGTTTTCATTACCAAACACATTTCCAGTCTCCTGTCCTGTAGAAGTCATGGTGACCTGTGTTTCATGAGCAGTTAATGCTGTAAAATACTCTCCTAATCTTTGTCATTACTTTTTCTTTTTGCATTGGCTGCATGTTTATTATAGAAGCATGTAAGGCCCAAAAGCGTGTGTGGGTCTGTACTTTGAGTATCGTTCCCGTTCATCTCCTCTCCACGCAGGACGCCGCTTGTTGAGACTTTTGAAACATCAGCATTAACAGTTTGACACTCTTTGTTGCCTCGTGACTTTTGAAGAATCACACAATCCCTCTTTACCAGCCTTTTGGACTCACACACACAGTTTCTTCATGAAAACCTGAAACCTTGTCCCTGTCTGGTGGTGGATTCAGCTCCACCACTGGATGAGGTTTAACCTTTTACAGACTGATACGTGGGAACTGTTTGGGTTTTTTATGATAAATCTTTAACACTACCAGAGAGGTTGCTTTGCTGTATTTGCTCATGTTTCCAACTTTGAGGAACTCTACAGACACTGAATAGTTTAGGTTTTTTAGTAGTTTTATTCTGGGCTGCACAAGCTGTACTGAGGAAGGGCTCTGTCAGATTACTAAATTTGAGACAATTTTATGGAAAGTACAATATTGATTGCATGAAAGCTGATAAGCTTAGCAGTGCAAAGTAAGGCATCATAATGAAGCATGGTGAAAGTGTTGTACATTAAAAGCATTATATGTGACTGTGCTTTCAGTGGAGTTGGAGCTTGTGTATGGAGGACCAAACCTATCATTATTGGAAATAAATGTATAAATATATAACTGGCGTATTA